ATAGCATCCTTTATCTTGTCTGCTTCAGCATGGGGAAGGGAATTTGGAAACTGGTGTTGAACAGGGCAAATGCCATTAAATGAAATTTGAGCCCCTGCAACCATTGCTAAAATGTCAGGGTCAGTGGTGAGTTTTTCCCATTCCCTGCGGAATTTCGAAATTTGACCTGACTGGAAAGAGGTAACCTTTTTGGTTAAGTAAGGGATATTTGTTGTTAACAAATTCTTTAAATATATTTACCTCTTGTTAAAAACGGTCTAATTCTTTTTGAATTGTTTCCGATTCTGGTAATTTTGATGTCTCCTGGGAGGGAAATGTGCCCTCCCTCTCTGGGATAAAAAAGGCCTGCTGGTCTGTGGTGGATATGGTGAAAACCTTTTGGTTTGATAACTTTGGCTTGATTGCCCAGCAAACTGAGTAGTTAAGCTAGCGACAGCTTTGCTTGAATTTCGAACATCCTGAGCCGTTTTGGCTAAATCTTCACCAAACAATAAAGGACCAACTTTGTGGCTCCTTGAGCACAATGGCTTAAAGTCAGGGTGAAGGATATGACGTATAGCGTCTTTGCGCTTGTAGGAAATTTCGTTCCATACATGGCCAAATAAGGCCGTTGTGTCCAGCACGGCTTTGTAGTCTGGAATAGTTTTCGTTTCCCGGCATTCTAATAGCGTGTTCATAGACGTGGCCAAACTAGACAATACTTTTATAATAGTATCTTGTAAGTTTGCCAGTTTAATGTCCGATTTTTTGGCGTATGGCTTGAGTTTCTGCCATATTTCCGGATTAACTTTAGGCACATACATTTCCTCACAATTTTGTGGCCTTTGATATTTGCTTAAAATTTCCTTTAGTTTTGTAATATCAAGGTTATATAGTTTTGGTATATAGTTTTGGCAAGATGCTCTGGAATTGGAGGGCCAGTTTGCTCTGTAGATGATAAATTTAGTGCAATATTTGAGAGGAGATTGTCATTATCGAGGTCATCAATCTCGTCCGCGAATTCTGGCCCTCCGAACAAACTCAATGCATCGGCATTTTTATCGTGCTCTGCCTCGGGAGGATCTTCGCACACTTCTGTATCGTGGTCAGAACTTTGCTGAGCTATACATGGACGGTAATTGCCGTCAGAATCTAGCCCAGACTTTGGGGCGGTTTTGGCTCGCTTTGGAGCAGATTGTTCGCCATTTTCGGCCTCGTCTACATCGACGTGATCAATAGCACGAGGCCGTTTCTCAGCGGCCTGCTTTTCGTTAAATATACGTTCAAGGAACATATTTTGTCTATCCATGCTAGCTTGCATGGCCGTAAGCACCGAGATAAGTTGTGGCTCGGTATCGGCGGCAGCTGTGTGCGTATCACACTCGTTGTGCGTAGCCTCGTGCTCGGCTTGTTCGCTAGACATAATTTACATAAAAACAATACAATTTCTAACAATGGAAACTTATGAATAAGTAGGGGACTTATCTGTATTTGTTCAATGTAGCTTTCTTCTTGCTTCTGGTGAGATTTTTCTTCTGGATGTAATGGATTTTAAAAAGGATTTTCGGAGAAGACTTCGAATGCGACTTTCGTTCACGACAAGACGTATACAACTGACTATCTCGCGCATGCGTATGCTCTCTCTCGTACAACTCTGACACGACCCTAGCTGATGACGTAGTAGAATTACATAAATAAATAACATCATTTTCTGATGTTGTTTGTATTTGTAGTTCAACATGTCAGACACAGACAGACAACTTCCCGCACGAAATAAATTTGATTAATTGCTCGTGACTTTGAAATTTATACTTTTTTAAATAAAATTTGATGCAATCCAAAACCTGTACTGATAAAATTTGACATAAACCTCGAAAATCGAAATAAATAACACAGTATACGCGATCGACTGTCAGCATTTCATTCAGATTCGGACTGTAGCTCACACAACAATATCAAATTTCTCCCTAAATATTCGTTTCTTTCTATGGTAACCACAATAATAATTTAGGCTTACATTGCCTCTGCAGGCAGTTGTAGTAGTTTGATATTCCAATCCTTTGTTTCCGAAAAATAGTCGATTTTGTGATCAAAATGTACATTTCGTAATACAAATCCCTATTGCACTGACTGGTTTTACTGGCTGCGAGCTTGAAAGATCCCGCGCGTGCGCACTGAAATTGGTTACGTGTTGTACACGTGAGTTGCCCTTCTATTCATTTCTTATTCTATGCTCTGGGATAATCCATGTCAGAAATGAATATGATTGGTTGCTGGTATACAATGGAATGTTGCAATTTTGCAAAAATTAATTTTTAACCGTATATTTTTATATACAACATGGCGGCCGTTTAGGAGTGTACGAATATTGTTTTGGTTTTTCAGAGCTGTGCTATATACTAATACTACAAAGGAAATGCAAAGAAACGTATACTTAATGCGTATAATATCACAACAGTTAAATGGAGCGTGAAAACTTTACTCATATTTGTGTTGTACAGGTTTTCTGTAGTTTTAATCTATACATACTTACATAGTATACAGTACTGTCAGTACACTGTACTATTTGACTATAATATCAAATAAGTGCTATATTTTGCAAATACTATTTGTGTCAGAAATGGTTAATAACTTTTATTAATTTGTCTTTGTGTTATTTAATTGTGAAGAACTAGCTAATGACTACTTAATGAAGAACTAACTAATGACTAGTTTCAATAAATCCAATCTTGGGATTTACTGTTATATATTTTATTATTTAATGTATATACTATACTGTAAACTTTTCATGTGCAGGAGTATGTAATACTCATTTCAACTTGTAGCATGTAAACCTTCCCTATATGGGTGCATATGAATCTTTTGCTGTTATAATTTATTTATAGAAGAGTTAAAAAACCTTTATTCTCTAAATAAACCACAATTCCACAGGCAGTGATATTAACTTGTATTCCAGTCTGCATACACCTAATACATATAATGTATTCTTGGGTTTCACTATGGCATTTTGCACGTTCTGACGAGGGGTCAACCTAAAATGTATTGATGATTATGCTGTACTGGAGTGAGCAAATGATATGAAATGGCATGTATTTGCCACCAAACACAAGGCCAACACATACAGTGAAAAAGTAATTCACGACAAAAGTCTCGATTTAGAGTTGACCCCACTGAGCTATACTTAATATATCTGGAGATCGTGCTCCAATACCTCGTCAGTCAAAAATGTGTGACCAAAAACATGGCGGATTTTGAACACCACTGACCTTAAATACTAAAGTGAAGAAAAAAGTTATTCACACGCCCCTTTCAATTTGCTTAAAGCAGAAGGAGGTAAATTCAAAATTTCGGTCGGAAATTTTCTTATATTAAAGCGAGACATTTGCAACCATGCCAACTTTTTGTTCAATTCCTGGTTGCCAAAAATCTACTGAAAGAAAGGACCTGTCCTCACATGGGTAAGGCTCGTATAATCTCGTTTTTTTTGTAATAATTTAACGCATGCTGTATTGCTGTATTGAATGTGTAAATTTGAGAATTCATGAAATTTATTGGAAAGCAACGTACAATACAATTTATGTTAGTGAATCCTTGTATTTGACATTTTGTAACTTGGCTATTTATTGGTGTACTACAGTGCAAAAGTGCAAATACATGTTTTATTAATTGTTTTAGATGAAAAAGAGCGAAGAAGAGGTAAAAAAGCGACCCATAAATTTGAACAATATTAGCAGCATAAAAAATACAGTAACATGAAGCGATAAATTATTAAAACATGGCACTGAGAAATACCCTAACACAACCTATTCTTTCTTAAAATGCTAATTTAACAGTTCGCCTTTTATCATTCCAGGAAGATGCCGCAAATGTGGCCTTAAAGGCCATCATGCAAAAAAATGTCATACCAGTACGTATGTTTAAATTACTACAGTCTCCTCAGGCTAGTTAACAATATCAAAGTTTCTGTCATCACAGTAGGAATTTTGGACACTAGGTAACTAGCTTAAGTTACAAAGGTTTTGAAAGTTGTTGAAACAACTACTAGCCTAGTGTTTGACTGTTATGCTTATTTCCTGTATTCATTAAAATTACACAGATTTTTTTTCAATTGTAAGACATCATCATTCACAATTACACTGTTTATGAAATATGAAAGTACAGTTGTGTACATTTATTGTTGATTAATATTAAACAGGAATGCTATGCTGGGTGTGCGGGAAGAAGGGGCACACAAGAATTGTGCCCACAGAAAAATCGGGAAGGTGTCAAACAAGGTGCAGTGCACCACTGGCATCGATGCCACAACATTGTGTTCCAAAATCAGTAGTTTTTCAATGAAATAATCTTTAATTAATAACACTAATCTTTAATAAATAATTATATTAATTTTGTCTCAATCAATTATATGTATGTCTATATCCCTTGTGTGTCAATTTAGTTAATATTGATATTCAAAACCCAATAGCAACTGGTATATGTCATTTTTACAAAATCCCAATTATTGTGCAAATAACAATTCTGGCCTGTTTGTCTCACACATGATCTGTATTTACCACATAACTTGACCATTTCACATTGATTCTCAAGTTGGATAGCATCAAGTAGTACTGTATTAAAGTTTAACTTAAACTAGAAAGTGAACAGCACAATACAATAAATATTTATTCCTTATTTCTGCTAACTACTTGAAGTTATTTTGTACACGTTTTGGCCTGCTCAGCTAAGCCAAGATTGCTACATTTCCATTTATTTTGACCATTTGTGTTAGTGTACAAATTAGGCTAGCATAATTACTGTAGGTGCTGACCATCAAGTGGGGAGTGACATGCATAGAATTGGTTGAGCAGCTTATTCAATTAAATTGGTGTTGTATGTATTTTAAAATAAAGTTGTGATTGTTGTGATTTGAAATTGAATATATTATTTATCCTTATTACTAAATGAAATTATATAATTATTTTGGAAAATTTTTTTTTGAATAAAATATTTTTTTTAACAATTCTTTACTGTCGTTCCAATTGAAGTGTTCCTCGAATATTGATTAAATACATTACCTCGGGCTGACCAATTCATTTGATCAAGTTCCTCGAGATATTCATACACTTCCTAGTATAACTGTAAACTTCCTTTTGAATAGTTTGAATGCACCAATCACCTTTGTTGTTTGTGCAACTAACCAATCATAAATAGAAAGAAAGTGACCAGAAATGGTCAAATACTTGGAATTGGCTCTTTCACAGGAAGTGAATGAATATCTCGAGGAACTTGATGAAATGAGATGCTTGTGTGATGTTACTCTGAGTGTATATCCACACCGGGCAGGCTTGAAAAATATGCCTGGCCACGGTGGGATTCAAACCGACCTGACCGCGTAGCTCAGTTGGCAGAGCATTGGGCTAGTATTCCAAAGGTCGTAGGTTCGAATCCCACTGTGGCCAGGCATATTTTTCAAGCCTGCCCGGTGTGGATATACACTCAGAGTAACATCACACAAGCATCTTATTCACCTGAGTACATTACACCAACACAGCAAATATCATGATTATTAGAATACACTGATGTCGAAGGAACTAGAAACAGTTCCGAAATATCGCATACTCGAACCGACCTGACTGCGTAGCTCAGTTGGCAGAGCATTGGGCTAGTATTCCAAAGGTCGTAGGTTCGAATCCCACTGTAGCCAGGCATATTTTTCAAGCCTGCCCGGTGTGGATATACACTCAGAGTAACATCACACAAGCATCTTATTCACCTGAGTACATTACACCAACACAGCAAATATCATGATTATTTGAATACACTGATATCGAAGGAACTAGAAACAGTTCCGAAATATCGCATACTCGAACCGACCTGACCGCGTAGCTCAGTTGGCAGAGCATCGGGCTAGTATTCCAAAGGTCGTAGGTTCGAATCCCACTGTGGCCAAGCATATTTTTCAAGCCTGCCCGGTGTGGATATACACTCAGAGTAACATCACACAAGCATCTTATTCACCTGAGTACATTATATTTAATATATTCGCCCAAATCAGTTTATAAAATTAACAATTTAAATAGAAAATATTTACAATAGTAAGGCTAGGAACCTTCTAGAAACCATAAGGTCCCTAGTTACAATTCAAATAATATAATATTAAAAGTTAACACCAGTCCAATTGTTTTCAAAGGAATTACGGTGATACATTTACAATAAGGAAAGTGCGTAAAAGATATATCAGACTATAACAACTGTTTGGCTTTTCACTTTGTGCCAAGAATTCTACTTATTTAAATTTGACAGAAGAAAACATATTTTCATTGTAGATTGAAATATTGGAAGAGATGTAATTTGCTTATATTGCGTCGGAAGATTATTCCACACATCGATGCCGTTATTACCGAGCGTGTGTTTGTTATAATTTGTTCTAGTACAACTTTTGTGGAGCAATGATGCGTTTCTTGTGTTATAATTATGGATTTCTTTGTTAGTTAAAAAATATTTATCAAAAATTTCTGGAAGATTTTGTAAACATAAATAGACTTGTTAAGAAATCATTCAATTTATACAAGTTAGTATTTTAAGGTCATTAAAAATTGGTTCAGTATGGTCAAAATAGGATTTGAAAGTCATTAATCTTACTATCTTTTTCTGGATATTTACTAATTTTTGAATGTGGGATTTGTAAGCGTTATCCCAAACTAAATTACAGTATATAAGATATGGATAGACCAATGCGTAATAGATCAGTTTTAAGGAATTTAGGTTTGTAAAATGTCGTATTCTGGATATAATAGCTGTACATTTGATAATTTTTTTTTAAATAAGATCTATATGATCGCACCATGATAAAAATT